TCCAAAATTCTAAAAAAGTATAATTTACCAGGCGAGGTGGGCTCCTTCTGATACACGGGCTGATGGCTCCTCCTCGGGTGGTGGCTCCTCTCAGCATCGGAAGGGGATTCCCTCCTCTCAGAACGACGAGACCTTGATGAACGGCGGAGATGTTGTGAAGAGGCATCTGGAAGAAGGTCTACACAAAATGGGGTTACAGAGTGAGAGAATCCTGGAGATTCTAGGCAACTCGAAACTCACCAAAATCATCTGGGGAGGAGCCGAGACGATGCGAATTGTTGTGAGAAGATGGAGGAGGGAGGGGAGGCTCATCCCATCAGAAGATTCAAAGCCAAGACCAGACAGTAGACCACCACCACCACGGGAACCAGCACCCAGACGGTCAAGGCCAGAGGGGCCGAGGCCCGCGAGCAGTTCCGACGGGCTCGCGCCGAGGGCCTAAAAATTGAAGTTAAAAATGGAGCTTTTACAATATCGGGAGGGGGGGGGGCAATTTTTCTATAAAATCTTATTTAGCTAGTATAAAATTACTTTCCAAAGTTTTACGCCGTTTTTACGATCGCTAAACGTGTAAAATGTGAAAAAATGCCGACATTTTTGCTAAACATTTCTCACTTTATATTGAATTAGGCGCTTTTTTTAATGAATATAAAACCCCCCCCCCCCGATATTGCAAAAGCTCCGTAAATTCCATAAGTTCAATTTTTTGTACCTTCTGATCCATCAAATTGCGATGTTCCCTGTTGAGGGCAAAGTGTTTCGTCTCGAGCTTGACATGATCATGCCTCAGCTTCCTCAGCTCTTCCTCCACGGCCTTCAGCTCGACCTCCTTCTCCCTTCGCTCCGTCTCAGCCTTCCGCAGCTCGTCCTCCAGCTTTCGGGCGTCAATTCGAAGGTCGGCCACCTGATAGAGAATATAAAGTTTTCAATAGAAAACAAAATGTACCATATTTTCAGTGTCGGAAGATTTGGTCTGTGCCGATTGGAACATGCCGAGAAGCTTCGTTTGGTGCTCAAGGGCTAGGCGTCGTTCGTTTTCGCTGAAAAAAATAGTTAAATAATATAAAATATTAAGGGAAAAATACGTAATTAAAAATCAATAGGATTAAAACTAAATCCATTCCATTTTAAAAAAAAACTAATTTTTTCAATGGCAAACTGAAGATTTTAAAAATATTCAAAAAATAATTTTTTAAATAAATAAATTTTAAATAATGTAGCCATTTAAAAATGTACCATTTGTCGAGTTCGAGGCTCTTCTGTTTGAGGGCTTCATCCAGGGATTTCACGCGCTCCTCGAGAACCTTCTTCTGCACCTGCTCCCGCTCGAGCTCAAGCCTGAAAACAATAGGTTACACAATTTAAATCCAAAGGCCTACCCGGCAGAATTGATCTTCAACTCGAGACGATGGATCTCTCCCCTCAGCCTGGCCACTTCTTGGATATCCGACACCGTGGAGATGTTGGTCATCTTCTGCTGTACTTGTTGGTGTTGTTGTGTGGGAGGTGTCGTTTCCTTTTGTTTGTCCTTCTTTTCCTTGTCTTTCTTCTCCTTCTCATCATCCGAACAATCAAAGTCCGACCATCCATTCGAGCCGCCGCCGCTTTCCGACACTAAAAATTCGGGGTTTTGTTTTGCTATGTTGCACCTTTTCTACGTATTTTTCGTTTTCTAAATATTACAGATATGCGGAGACACGTTTAATAACGTTCTTAGCAATTTCAGCCATATTTCAAGCCGGAAAACCGTCAGGAAAACTCAGAAAAATGCTTAACAATCCAAAAATTTTTGTAAAAATCAATATTTTTAATTATGTTAGCAAAAAGCAGAACATTCGTAAAATTTCACTATATTTAAAGAAATATGCTTACAAAAAAATTCTACAATACTTCCAAAACGAAATTTTCATCTAACTTTTGTATTTTTTATAAAAATTTGTCAATACAAAAAAAATTCAATAAATCCGATACAAACTCCAAACCCTCACCGCTACTAGCTGATTGTGCCTTGGTGGCCTTGGTGAGCTTGACGTCCTGTTGTTGCTGATGTTGTTGTGCATCTTCTCCGTGTCTCGTTTCCGCTTCAGCCAGTCGTGCTTGTAGATCGACAATCATACTCTCCAATCCGACGGTCCTTCCCTCCAATTCGTCTGCCATATTCTCCTTGTCTTTCAGCTCTTTCTCCTTCGCCTCTAGGGTGAAGCTCAGCTCCTCGGCCCGCGTCTTCGCCAAATTCAGCTCCCCGTCGACGCGCTCCTTTTGGTGGCGCAGTTCTAAACATACAAATAAAATTCAGCTAAAAGGTTCAAACTACCGATAAGATCATTGTGGAGCGCATTGAGTTTGCGAGTGACCTCCTGGCACTCGTTGTTCAACTGCTGGTGGGCCTGTTCGACGTGTTCGAGCTGTTGCACTCGGACTCGCATCGCTTCCAGGGCTTCCCTCTCGGCGGCGTAGTGATGTTCAGCCGTTTGTCGGCCTTCCGATTCACGCTTCAGCTCCGCGCTCATTCTAAATTAAATTAAATTTTAAAATTTTAATAAAATTAAAGTTTTCCCAGATTCTTTCACCGTTAACTATTAACTAAATTTTTATAATAACAATTTCAAATCGAAATTTTCGTATTATACAATTTCGAAAAGCCGATTTAAAAAAATCGATAAAAAAACCCTTTTAATTTGTTTATTCAGGACGTTTTAATGTCGTCTTTCCCCATGCGAAACTTTTGCATTTCGAAATTTTGGCAGAATTTGGGGCTTTTTAGAATTTTTCAGCGCAGATTTCCACATATGAAAATTTCGGCATTTCCTCAACATGAAATTTCAAAATTCCGATCAAAAAATTTAATATTTACCTCTTTTTCTCCTCCTCAGCCTGGCCAACCAAATGGCGCAGATTGTTCAGCTCGGCGCTGAGTTGATGAACAGCCTGTTGATCTTGTCCGCCGTTGATTTGATGTCGTCGTAGCTCTTCCTCTCTTTCCTTCAGCACTGTCTGCAGGGCCTTCACCTTACTCGCCAGATCGTGGGCCGCACGACGTTCAAAGTTCACTATAAGGTGAAAGATAAAAAGAAATGCTTTACCAGAATCCGATCCTCCCAACGCCGAATTGATCAGCCACCAGACGACGGTCATCGCCAGGATGGTCAGGTTGATGGCAATACCGATACCTGGAAAATAAGGATAAATTAAAACGTTCCTAATTTAAAAATTAAATTTGGGAAAGACGTTTCTAGAAGCCGACAAAATTTTTGGTCTCCCACCCCTGATAATGCCACAGAACCAAACATACAAAAATTTTTACCTCCATCAGAGAGTCCATTCAATCCGGGTAGAGATCGGATACCGCCAGCCAGTGATGTGATGCTCGTGGCGAGGAAACCAGGGTCAGATGGTGGTGGAGGGGGCAGAGAACGATCGGCGAATGGATTCACTTCCGGGACGGCCGGAGCTGGCGTCGTGCTTGGCGTCTGAAAAAAAACGGGATAAATTGAATAGAAAACAGCGAAAATTGGATCAATCTGATGGCGTAATCGATCAGATTGGAGTCGATTTTCGGGGTTTCACGACAGAAAAAAAATACAGAGAAGGGCCTAAACGTCAAAAAATCCAATACGGAAGCCCTGCAAACGCAAATCTCGATGGCGTAATCGATCAGAAAAAACGCCTAGGTTTCAGGTTATAGCTTTCCAAACAAAACTTAGCACCAGGAAAGGCATAAATGTAGAAAAAAACGAATTCATGACCAGAAAATTGGGATTTTCATCGCTTGGGGGATCAGAAAAGTGCCCGTTTTCAGGGTTCTAGTCTTAAAAGAAAAAATCTATATGGGGGAAGGTTTAAAACGTAAAAAAAGCAAACCCTGGGTAGATTTCATGGCGTCACGGATCAGGGCCAAAACCCCGGGATAGAAAAAACTACAATTCACCTCCAGCTCCTCAACGGGTGCCGGGGTAGTAGTAGTGATTGGCTCAAATTGTGGGGGCTGGGCAAATTCGGCGGGCTCCGGGTCCTCCGGTGGTGGTGGTGGTGGCTGTTCAACTACCGGCGATGGAGTGGTCGTGGGCTCGACGGGTGGTGGAGGGGCCTCATGACTGAACGAAAAATCATATAAACTCAAAAATCTAATTTCCCACTTTCTCGCCGCTTCAGCCATGATGCTGCCCTCGTTTAGAGGTTTCACTTTTCCACAATCATCTCCATCACAGAACCCCTCGGGGACGGCGGGGGTCGGATCGGCTGGCGGTTGTTCTTCAACGACAGCAGTAGGTGGTGGAGGAGGGGTGATTGGCTGCAGAAAAAAAATAAACAAATCATAACCATAACTCGGTATCAAGAAATCAAACTTTTGGGGCAGAAAACACAAAATACACCAAAATATCCCCATCAAAAATCTTGATAATCAATACCTCAACCGGAACGGGGTCCTGAGGCACTGGAGGAGGTGGAGTTGTCACTTCCGGCGCGGCCACGGGCTCTGGGGTGGTGATGGGCACTTCGGGGACCGGCGGGGCCTAAAAATCGTATTTTAAAGGCGTTATTAATAAAATTTAGCTGATTTCTGCTTGAAGGACTATCTAAAAGCTCAGAACAAAAGTATCGACGATTTTGGTGGCATAATCGCATTTTTTATTTGTAATTGTAACCAAAAAACTAGCCAAAAATTAGGTTTAAGACCCGACAATTCCTCGAAAAATCACCATAGTAGCATCGAGCTTATTGGCCAGTACATCCAACGAAGAGAGACGCGGCATCTGGATTGGCGGTGGGGTTGTTTGAGGGGCTTCTACAGTTGGTTGCTGTGCCTCGTCGACAGGCGGCTGCTCCGTCACGTTGTTATACAGCGGCTCGTCCACGTCCACCGTATTCTAAAAAAACACATAAAAATAGAAAATAAAATAATAAAAGACCTGTGCCTTTCGCAGCTCCATCATCTCGATATCCTTCTGCATCATGCGTTCAATCTCCGCCGCCATATCCTCCTCACCGGTTACCTAAAAATATATGTTCCGTTTTTCAGGCCAAAATTCAGGATTACCTTATTTTCACCATCTTCCGATTTTTGAGGTGGTGCCTGGGCTAGTGGTGGTTGTTGAGCAGTTTCAGGCTTCACCGGGTCGGCTGGTTGTTCCAAGACAGGAGGGGCGGTTTCTAAAATCTGGTAATTTTTTGAAGTCTAAAAATAGCCAGAAATGTGCAAAAAGCCCCCAAAAAATTCTTTAAAAGCCAGTAGCGAATTACCAAAATCCAAGATCAGTTCCAAAAACTGTTCTAAAGGGGTCTATGGTTTGTGAAGACAAAAATATCGTGATTGACCGTTTTTAACAGGATTTTTAGCTATATTTCAAATGTCAAACGTCGCAAAAACCCATATTTTCAGTTTTTCCAATCAAATTTGCCAGTTTTAGGTTTATAAACACTAAAAATAGCCAAAAAAATTGTCCTGGTTCTACCACAAAAGTGGGATGGAAACCATAAATAAACCGGTTCAAAAACCGACCAACAGGCTTGGCGACCGGCGGCACTTCCGGTTCGTGAGAATGGCCATGTCCGGCTTCATGTGAATGTCCATGATCATTTTCATGACTGTGTCCATGTCCTCCATGAGAATGTCCATGCCCTCCATGGCTATGGCCATGTCCCTTTGAAGGGGGCTCCGGAATGGGCAGATCTTGTGGCTCTTCAGCTCCCACTTCTCGAGCAGCCCTCCTGGCAGCAACGTTGTAGTCACGGATCAGGCCTTGGTGCGCGAAGATGGTTTCTAAAACAAGATTTTTTTTAATTAGGGGAATTTTTACCAATGACACGTTTGTCGCCGATATCCTTGTCATCTTGGCTAACGATTAACAGCTGCAATTTGTTGTCAATAGCCGCGCGGAGAAATCCGGCGTAGGGACTGATCGAGATCGTCGCGTCAAAGATAAATCCACGTCGACCATCGGCCGTCTAAAAATAACTTCACAAAATTTTAGGAGTTCAAAACCTGAGCTTCCATGATATCAGGTCGATTGCTGAATTTGAAAGCAAGAACTTGAAGCGTTTCGCCAACTTGGAGATTGTTGAGGAATTGTTCGTGAGAAGCATCGAGCACCCGGGTGACTGTTGTCGAGAACAGAGGCCCTGGAAAAATGGTATAGAGGCCTATAAAACGAGTATACTTGAGCATCTCTCATCGATACATATCTTGGATGGCTTAGGCGGTGTCCGGGGAGGGCCAGCCGCCGTGGAGAGTGAAGTGTAGAGGAAGAGGAAGAGCAGAAGTGAAACAATATTCCGGAGAGACCGCATCACATAGCAAATACCCGCACGGCTCCTGGAATGGATGAATTACAACGTTCTTAAAAGCAATGAAAAGCATAGGGAACAATGTGAAAACGAAGAATTAATAAATAAAAGTCATAAAATAGGTTTCCGGCTTCCAAATAAGCATTTTTCCATATGTTTTTGAAGCGCTATTCTACCGCCAGACCTTTGTAAAGCTGGCGCGCATGATTTTAAACAGTTTCACAACAAAATATACGAAAAATTCGAGCTTTTTGCATGTTAGGAGAAGCGGAAAGAAGCGCCTTTTTTGTTAGAGTTCAACGTGTCCCGCCCTGCGTCTCTCGCCCAGAGCAAACAAAAGCAGGGGTACGGTCGCCTCCCCCGGTTGTAGGAAGCAACAGGCGATCGTACGATCAAAAACCGGAAACATCGAGCGGCACAAAAATGACAAGATTCAAGCTTAGAAATAGCAAGTAAATTAAGAAGTGAATCGAAGACACCCGAAGCCAAGCCTTTAAAAGCCGTGAAAACATCAAAAAACCTAGATTTTATGCGAGCTAAAGCTTTTGAAAGCTTTTTTAATAAAGTAAGCCTATAAAAATTGTCTAAGTATCCACGTGCTCTTTTAAAACACGAAGAATTTCGTGGATATTGTGTAGCGCAGTGAAAACCGATCGCCCGGCCACTTCAGCCCACACACTCAAAAGACCAATTGGGGGTAATGTGAAGCGAATTCTGGGGAGAACGACGTTGATATCCACATTTTATTCGATGCCGAAATGTGGCTAGTTCGATTATTGATACCGATTTTGTTTTATAAAGCTTGTGCGGCTCAAAATGGGACTGATTTGATGTTACAGGACGCTAAGGGTAAGATTTTCAGGATTTTCAAGGCTTGAGGTCAAATTTTTAGTGGAATACGAGGAATTTCTCTACACACTCGATCGTCTAAATCAATATTTATTTGTAACGAGGGCTTATGATAAATCTGTGGCTCCGATTGACACCAGAAGAGGTGTGATTCCGCTCAAAAATCTCGCAAAAATATCTGTTTTCCAGAAAATTCGACCCTTCCCCGCTTCAACGTCGATATACAAATGAATTTCTTTAAAGTTATACACATCGTAAGCGATAAAACCTATTTCTACTTGACTTTTACTTCAGATGGAGGAGAGCGAAAAGATTGGGCTGTTGATCGAGGTCGTTTATGTAGGTTTTTTATGCGATTAACCTTAAAAAAGGCATAGCCTTCATTTTTCCCAAATATGGCTATTCTGGCAGCCAGTTTAATTTTTTATTACTATTTTGTATGCATTACAAACTATTTTGGACCTTAAAAATCCATACTATTAAGCGCTGGGAAGATTTGCGGCTTCGCTGGGACCCTCGCGAATTTGATGGCCTCGGGAAAATCTACCTAAACTATAAGAAGTTATGGGTGGCCGAGCATACAATATCTGAAGCGTAAAAAAAGCCTAAAATTCCGTTAAAAATGACAATTAGGGCGATAATGCACGAATTCGTGGATGATCATCGGAAAGTGGTGACCGTTTTTGCGAATGGGACTGTGTCGTTTTTACACAAGTTTTATGCGGAAATAAGCTGTCGATTGCAGGTAAAAAAAGTTGTAGTTTGTAGTTTAACGTTTTTAAGCTTTCTCTATTTCCTTTTGATCGGCAGTCATGTCGCATCTTTTTCATGGCCCTTTCTTTTGATATTTCCGAGGTTTCGATGACAACCACATTGATTGATATCGAGTATCCTGCTGCCGTAAGTCGATATTACTGTCAATTGCACGCCAGAAGAGCTAAAAATGACAAATGCAAATATTTTTAGAGTACCGGCCAATGGTCTTTGGAAAATGTGTCGACGGCAGTGGCTGAATACGCATTCCACACCACGCGTTTTGATACCGTATTCGTTTAGACCTTTGTTAGACAGTTTATTTTTTTGCATTCATCTACAGTATGCCTGTTATAAAAGCTACTTTTTAGGCGGGATTCTTTCTGACGGTCCGTCGAGAGCCACAATTCTATATTTACGTAATCGTGCTACCTTGTTTGATCCTTGAACTCTCTCAATAGCCGGGATATTCTGGCGTCATGATTATGATGATCAAAAGATGGAGAAGGTGGTAACAACGGCTACAAACTACAACGAATTTTCTATGCTTTCCAGTTGACAATCGGGCTGACGAGTCTGATGTCGATGAGTGTGCTGTTGGATATTGTGGCCGGGGAGATACCGAAGACGCAGAGTTTTCCCTTGCTTGGTAGGGTTTTGAAGCAGGCTAGCAGTGATTATTCTGGAAAAGGTTGAACCAGAAAATGCAGGCAAATCTGGAGTTTTTCCAAAAAACTCGTTTTTTCAACAACAATCCGAATTTTCGTATCAAAGCTGGAATTTTTTCTGTTTCCTGATTTTTCCATTGTTCGCGATTTTTTGAGGACATGCTAGCAGCGATCATTGGGGAAAAATTTGTCGAAAAGAAGCCAGAAAAATATAAAATTTTTTCCAAAAAAATCGAAATTTTTCCAGATTTCTCGTTTTTAAAATATGGTTCGATTTCCATATTTGAGTTTTAGATCTATTTTTAAGGTATCTACGTTCTCGTCTCCGTGTTCAACGTCGGAATCGCCTGTTTTCTACTCGTTCTAATCCCACTCGGGAAACAACCGGCCGTCAAGCCGGGGGCCACCATAAAAAGGTAAAAATTGTTGGATCTTGTAGCTCTTAAACTTTCGATAAGATATGTTAAGATAAACTGGCCGTCAGTTTATCTTAAATATAACATATAAATATTTCAGTCGTCTCAAGGCCCGAATCTGGACGCGTCAATTCCTGTTCCATTTCGTCTTCCAGGCCGTCAATCTCGCCAATTTTGGCACGTTTATCTCGTTTTGGAAGTGAATAAAGGTTTTGTATACTTTTTATGATTTTCTGGCGATATTTTGAATGGCACGTTCCGTTGGACACCACTTGACAGGGGCTACAGAAATATTTTCGAGCGGTATTTGCCCATTCTGCCCCCCGCCATTTCGAAGCGAAACCTGACCTCGCTGAAGGACTTCCCGGCCGATTTCGGGGCGGAATTCAGGTATTTTATGGACTCTGGACTTTTGGGAGAGGTGATGTTGATAAAAATGGGTGAAATGACGTGCCACTGTCTCTTTAAAATACAAAATTTTGATAGGATAACGTCTGGATTTTCTTTGTTGACATCCAGTTAGCGTAATCGGCTCTAAAGACAACTTGAAAATGACTTTGAAAATGATATTAACCTGGAAAAAACTTGTTATGCCTGTTCTTGAACCGAACCTAGCGTGATCCTTATTTTTATCGATAGTTTAGGCAAAACTAGCTGTCACCATCCCTTTAGGGTTGGAATCGGCGCCAAAATGTATGCGTTATTCTGTTCTGTGCCCTCCAGCTACCGTAATCCAAGTCGAAAAGACACCAAAGCGTTAAAAATTATGATTAGCGCCCTACAAGGCCTGCTGTTCGCTATTTCGTGACCTGAACTGCCGTATTTCCATCAAAATTGATTCAAAAATATGGATTTCACGGCGGCCAGTATTCAGATTTTGCTTTAGCTATCGCATTCCAAAAGCATTTTTGCGCATATCCAGCTGTCGCCATCCCTTTAAAACGATGTTCGATTTTTTTGACATACAGCTACCGTAATCCACTCTCATTTAGCAAAAAACGTAGCTGTCACCGTCCCTTTAAAATCCATACCCATGACCGTAACCTACCGTACCCAAATTGGCCCACCACATCACTCGAGATTCCGTGCCATTCCCTGAATGCGCTTTGTTGGGGGCTGACCTTTCCGCCCGCGGGGGGGAGGCATAGTTTGCCCGCGGAAATCGCGGAAATTCGAGAATTGCGATGATTTGTGTGGCGAATCTTTGATGTGTTCATTTCGGCGGACACCCACACATTTTTTTCGCGAAGTTTGTATTTCCCGATTCACGACGCCCCCACCAATATTTTCGGAGTATTTAACTGGCAGAAATCCTCACAAAAAGGCACAATTTTGGACCCGAGTCCAAAGATTCTTGCCTGAAAACCAAGTCAACACAGTGTCATCCCTATTTTTGGGCCATCTCTATATTTCAGCGCAGGGCAATTTAGCAACGAGCGTTTCGGAAACTTGCAAAAACCCACAAAACCGTGGAGAATCTTTTGTGTTGCTCGTTTCCGAAGAAAATGTTTTAAAAAACCGTCAAAAACTCAAAAAACAACGCGCGTTTTGCTTGAAAACTCGTCACAAATTGGGTTTATTACGGGACACACGAAATTGTGCCATTTTTTGTTGCACAACTTCTAATTTTTGTACTTTTTGGAGGGAGAAGAGAGGGTTTAGGTCTCTTTTATATCTTTTAAAACGCGTCGAAAAAGTTGAAAACGAGCCTTTTTGCTTGAAACCGCTTTAAATTTGCGGTTATTTACGATATTTTATGGTTTTTGTAGCGTATTTTCGAGTTTATTTTATTTTCTGGCTGGCAAGCTAGCAGAGACGATTTACGACCTTGAAATTCTCACTTTTTATTGCCTCTGAAATTCTCAAAACGGTAAAGATCACTATTTTTTTGCAGCGTCAGCCTGGCTTTTCTATGGGAATTGCTCCTCTACTGTATATGTTCATTGCCGTAGTTAGTACAGTAATTTCTCAAAAAGTCGAAAATCCAGGTAAATTGAAATAATATAAATGACGTTTATATATTTTTAGAGTACAAATCATTTCTGAACAATTCTCAGCGATTATATGATGCCTTATTCTCGACGTATACCAAGGAATTATCGCCGATTTTGACGAGGAAAGAAGAAGTGCCTAGTAAGCTTATTTTAAATAAAATTGAATTAAGATAGCATCTAAATCACCATATTTAATTTGATCTAATTATTCGCCGCTTTCAACAAAATTTTTGGAATTTTACAAATTTTCTAAAAATTGTTAGTAAACGAATTTAAATTCTTAATTTTAGTAAATACATCGAATGATACGCGTTTTAATGTCAATATTTCTCTATATTTTGTCAAGCTGGTCGATGTGGTAAGTTTTATACCTTTAAAACAAGAAATTATCGATTTTTAGACCGAGGAAGAAGAGAAATTTTCGACACTTTCTGAAATTTTTATGGTATGTTTTTGATCAATTTTTAAGGTATTAATTGGAAACTAAACAACTGTTAAAGCTATAAAAATGAATATTTCTAGACTTGGATCGACCCCCGTCTCAAGTGGAATCCATCAGATTACGGTGGATTGCAAGAATTGCATGTGAATGCCGATTCCGTTTGGCAACCCGAGAATTCGCTGTCGGATACGTAAGTAGGAATGTAGCGTACTTTGATAGGGACTATTTTTAGATCAGACATTCAAGAAATCTACCCGCCAGATATCAAAACTGTCATAATCAAGCCAGAGGGTACGGTATCGATTTTGCGGAAAATCTACGCCGAATCGACCTGCAAAATGACGAATGTATGTCAGTTTGGGGATTTTGGCTGTAAAAGTTGTAATTTGTAGTTTGTAACCCACGATACGCCGTATTTTCAGATTGGCCACTTCCCATTTGATCGCGAAACGTGTTCTCTCTATTTTATGGTCTATTCGTATAATTATTGGGATGTCAAAATGACACTCGCCATTCCCCAGCCAAATATCGTCAATTTTGCGGTGCGTTATTTTGTAGACTACATACTACAACGGGTGTTGTTTAGGGCAATAGTGAATGGGACGTCGAGCAGATCACTTACGGAATATCATTCTACAACGACAGCAGTTATGCGTATGATTTTGATTCGGTACGGTAGAGTGGGTGGTAGATTACTGTAAAAATACATAAAAACCAATTAATGGGTCTCAGATTACTGTAAAAAGTAGTGTAAAAGTCGCGATGCCTCCCAGATTAGTGTAACGAGTATTAACCAATCTTTATTGCTTGCCAGTTCAAATAGAAACGTCGAAAAACTTATTTTTGAGGGTGCATTCAACCTTGTCCTCCGCCGTCAGCCCCATTTCTACATTTATGTGATTGTATTGCCGTGTTTCACTCTCTGTATATTATCTGCAATCGGAATGTTCTGGTCGTCAAATAGGAGAGAAGATCAATTGGCTAAGGTTTGCCATAATTATCGTAACCCGAGCTAAAAGCTCCTTTTTCAGTTATCGATCGGTCTGACGAGTCTAATGTCAATTGCCGTATTGTTGCAAATAGTGACTGACAGTATCCCGAAGAGTCAGACGTTTCCGTTGCTAGGTATCGATTCGGAATTTTGCGGTTTTAACGGGAAATTAAAGCCGTGGAGTTTTTGGCTGACTGGCAGTTAGGGCCAATTCACTCGAATTTCCATAAAAATCGATTAAAAATTCCCTAGCTGCGGAATTCGGGAAAGGCGGTATTGCATGCTTCGAACTGACTGCCAGTTAGCTTAAATCCGCACCTAATTTTAAAATTACTTGTTTTTCAGGTTTCTACGCAATAGTGAGTGTATTTATGATAGCATTGGGATGTGCCGTCCTCGTCAGCCTCCCAATAAGTACCGAATCCACGAAGAAAAGCATCGAAGCCGGGTAAATAAATATTTTCCTTGAATTCTACGCATTATTAGCGTATTTTTACACCAAGATAAAAGTTGAAAAGTCGTTTTTTTTTGCAAAAAATCATGATTTTCAGAAGTGCTGTGCGCCGTTTCCTCTACCGCCTAACATATCCTCACGTCATTCTCCATATTCTCTTTCAATTGGGGAATATCATCAACCTGATTGTTTTCTTTTCGTATTGGAGGTGAAATAAATATATAAAAATATCCGCGATTACGAATTACAGTAGCACTACCAGGTTACAGTGATACAACCGAAAAATTCACTTTTGAGGCACTAGCTATGTTTACAAAAACTAGAAAACAAAGAAACAATAATTATACCTGTTGGCTGCCAGTTTAACCAGTTACGCGATGAAAACAGTGTGTAAAGGGGCAGGAACTACTTCGACAGACTTAAAACTAAAAAATCGTACGGTCTGCGGTCAGGGAGTACACGCCATGGCTATAGACGCCAGAATTCGGGCTACCGGGTAGCAGTTCCGTTCCGCGTTTCGCTCTTTCCAACTTTGGCACCCCAAACCCAGCATAAAAAGCGTTTTCCTGAACTTTTGCGGAAATGGGAATGCGGGGGGAAACTTGAGATATTTGCCGAGTACTTCGTTTTGACGGAGCAAGAGGGGGGACACTTTTTTGGATTGGGTACTTGCTACGTAGACAACAGACCCACGCTAATTTACATGAATTGTTTTTATTTTCTAATTTATGCTTGTGTTTTCGGGATTACTGTAAGCCAGGAAGATGGTAGATCGATTAGAGGTAACATTAAAACTAAATTGACCGTAAATTTAGGTATTTTAGGCCTGGAAAAATCATATTTGAATACAACGCAACGGTTATACCACTATTTATTTGATAATTATGTCAAGGATGTGGCAGTTGTGCATGCAAAACCAGAGAATGGTAGACAGTTTAGCTATTTCCAGCATTTAAAAAATGATTTTGCGTTTTTGCAAAAATTTATTGTTTTAAGTTATTTTCTGGCTCGAAATTAGCGTTTTTAACTTTTGAAATTGTTGTAAAATGAAAAATCAAGGATTGAAAACGGGGCCTGTTTTGTAAAAGATTTTTACCATTTTCTAAATTGTAGCAGATTTCTTAATTGAATTTTTAGGCGATGACGCCGCAATTCCTCGTTTTAATGTGGAAATTTGGTTGAGTTATGCCAAACTGATCGATGTGGTATATTTTTATGAATTTTTCGTTTAATTTTTCGACCTTTTTTAGATGGAAGCCGAGGAGAAGTTCTCGTTTCTGACAGAGTTGTATTTTGTAAGTTAATTTCAAAACGTTATCTTAATAAAATTCGAAATATTGAATGCCAGTAAGAAAAGCGATGCTGGTGAAAAGGATAGGCTAGCAGGTATTCGTGTGAAATTGGGTTATCACAATTTTAATCTGATAAATCAATAACCTGACTGGCAGTTAACAAAAACCCATAAAAATTAATAAACCCCCGATAGACTACAAAGTGCATTTTAGTATTGGGAAGACCCTCGTCTCACTTGGAATCCAGCCGATTATAATGGGACGGAAATGATTCGCGTGAATGCAGGGACGGTATGGCAGCCAGAAAATTCGATTAGTGAAGCGTACGTTACACTCCAAATCCTACTATATATAAAAAAATAGTGTCTGTGTGTGTGTGTGTGTGTGCATTTGCATGCAACTTCCGTCCGTATGTTCCAATCTTATCTCAATAGGAGAGGAAGTTAAGGGTACGTATGCTACGTCATTAGGTGCGTAATGGGCATGACACGACTGCACGCATATAAGATTTGTAAAAATCAGCTGTTTTCGATATTAAAATTAAGTTTTTGTGAAAATCTCGCTCGGCCTCTTTGTTAGGAATCAATTAGCATATACAGGAAGTGGGGGCAGCCTATATAATGGGGGAGCGGACGCGTTTTTGATTTTTCTGCACAGGAATTCAGGTGTTTATGCAAAGTGATAGAAGTATTAGGGTAAGACGGGGCCAGGGTTGAAAAGTCGCGAAGCGGCTTTTCAACCCTGGTTACACCTTAATAATACGGTATTATAGGTCAGTACTTTATGAGATCTATCCAGATCAGGTAAAAACAGTGACAATATATTCAAATGGTACGGTAGCATTGTTGCGAAAACAATATGCCGAGGCTTCGTGTATGATGAGTAATGTAAGGAATATTATATTGTGGGATTACGATCGAATACAAAGAACAAACCATATTTTTAGATAGCATTAATGCCATTTGATCGAGAAATCTGCTCGATATCAATAATGGTATTTTCGTATAATTATTGGGAGGTTGGAATGGTGTTGGAAGTGGCCGATCTACTTTTTGACTATATGGTTAGTCAGTTTAAACGTTTTAATCGGAAAATTAAATTTATATAGTTTTGTTTGGCAAAGTGCCAGGCAGTTTAAAAGATGCGCCGGTTAAAAAATCCCTTAAATAAAAAATTGTCAATTTTTGTAGGGAAACAGCGAATGGAAGGTGGAAAATATGACAAAGGAAATCATCTTCATCAATGACAGCTTCTATAAATTTGATCAAGTATGCAAATTAAAAACAACAAAATTTATTTTCAAAAATAACGTACTTGCCGTATTTTCCGGTCTTAAAATCTTTATTTTCAATTTTTAACTTGAGCTTTTGGTGTCTATAGTTTAATTTTGACAGTTTCCATAAAATTGCTCAGGGGTGTAAATGAAAGCTAATTTAAAACTTATTTACCGTATTTCGTACTGTTTATTTCTATTTACCGTATTTTATTATTTTCCGGATTTCTGAATTTTAAATTTTTAGTTTCCAACTTTCAGGCAAATTTCCATTTCCATTTGCGGCGTCAGCCTCATTTTTATATTTACGTAATTGTTGTCCCCTCTTCGATTCTTTCGATTTTATCGATTATTGGAATGTTTGTCGGCCCAAATGATAGGCAGGATCAGCTTACAAAGGTATAAAACAATAAAAATTACCTTGAAGTTGTTAAAAAAGTTAAAAATCGAAAGATCTATACCATTTTCAGCTAACAATCGGCCTAACCAGTCTGATGTCGATTACCGTACTCCTGGATATTGTGACGTCGAGTATTCCGAAGAGTCAGACATTCCCATTGCTTGGTACGGTACATTAACGCTGCGAAATTAACGGATTTCGTTTCGAAAAACGCTAATAAGGCAGGGCATTTTCTAGGTGGCTAGCAGTGGGCGAACATCGAGCTACAGTACCCCAAATTTCTGCCAACGTAAAAGCAAAAATTGTGTTTTTCAAGTCGGCTGTCAGATAACAAAAATCTTTCGTCGCCGTTACATACTATCCACAAAAACAAAGTTAAAGTATCACATTTTTTTAGCTGCTTGGCAAATTGCCAATATCCAGTTACCGTAGCTCCAACCGCCAAAAACAAGGTTAAACCATGTCAAATTCTGAACTGTCGACCGCAAGGCCAAACTCCGATTACTGTATCCAAAAATGCAATATTTCAGGAATCTTCGTGATCGTCAGTGTTGCTGTAATAGCTGTTGGTTGCGTGATACTTGTCGCTTTTCCCCGATCTACCGTAACCCCAGGGAGTCCGAAGATGCCAAGGGACAGGTGAGGACATTTTCACGCTTCACTGGCCCTTTAGAAAGGCAAAAAAGGCTCGATGTTTTTGTTTTCAGATCGAGGATCGGAAAATTGTGTTCGGACCTAACACAAATGCACGTGATATTGCATCTCCTCTTCCAGGCGGCAAATTTGATCAATTTGATCGTTTTCTTCTCATTTTGGCGTTGATTGGGAGACAGTTAAGGGTAACGTATACCTTTAAAACGCCAACATTTCATGCTAATAAATATATTGATCTCTTAACTGGAATGCAGGCAGCAGAAAAACATTCCGGGTTGGCAAATACGGGGAGGGCTACGCGGGGATACTTGAGAACATTCGAGGAACTTTCCGAATTGTTGCCTGCCATTTCCAAATTTTGATGCTGATTTTTGCTACAATAATTGTTAATGCAATTTTAACGATTATGGCAGGTAATTTTGATATTTTTAGGTCTTTAAAATCGTTTAAATTCAGGCGAGACCTCTGAATTTATCGAAAATGCTCAAAAAGTCTACAATTCGCTATTTCGAGAGGGTAATTACAAAAAGGAGGTTGCACCGATATATTCCAGGCCGGAGGAAAGTAAGCAAAAGGCTAAAAATGATTTTTTAAAGCCAAAAAATTAATTTTTTAGAGGTTTTACTTTATTTCTAGGGCATTTTGATGCTTGAAAGTGCATAAATAAAGCTCTAAAAAATTCGAAACTTTTTAAAAAGATATTTTTCTAGACTATAACCCCGCAAAAATCGCCGAATTCAACGTAAACATCACGCTAAATTACGTGAAATTGATGGAAATAGTGGAGGAATTGGAGAGGTCAAAGACATTACTCGAAGTATTGTTTGTAAGTTGAACAGCTTAAAAAAATGTAGGAAAATCGGTTAAAATTTAGGGTTGGGTGGACGAGCGATTAGCATGGAATTCATCTCAATTTGGTGGCATCGAGCAGATAATTGTCGATTCGGGGAAAGTGTGGCTGCCCGAGAATAATTTTTATGATAGGTCAGATTGAGGAGATTTTCCTGGCGTAATCGACTAAACTTAGAAAATACAAATTTGATCACGCAATTGATTAAACCTAGAATTATATCAATTTTTAACCCGCTCATTAGAAGTCTATAAAACGCTCTAAAAGTGCAAACTGTGTGGTAATTTTTCTAAAAGCCCAGGAAATCTTTAGAATTTGGATTAAGCCACTTTTAAACAACTTAGAAAACTCCTTTAGTTCGGCAATTAATGAAATCCTTCCACCCGGCGGCTCTAATGCAGTGACTGTTTATTCTGATGGGACAGTCACAAATCTCCGTAAATTATACCTGGAATCGAATTGTGTTTTGGAGAATGTAGGACAGTCTTTTTATTCAAAAACGATACTTTTCCAGATTGGCCATTTTCCCTTTGATAGAGAAGTGTGTGCCTTGCTATTAACAGTGTATTCTTACAATACCTGGGATCAAATGATGACGCTAGCCTTGAAAAGCTTCGATTTTGTCGAATTTGCGGTAAGCGGGCCTTAGCCTAGAAACTACGGTTATAATAAGAGCTCTAAAACTACAAACTCTAGAGTACAAGCGAGTGGATCGTGGATGACGTTACCTATAAAGTTGGAATGGTCAATGATGCGACATATGTCGAACCCTATGAATATGTAAGTTCAAAAACTTCAATAAAAATATAAGTCTATTAAATCTGTATTCTGACAGCCAATTCATAAAACTATCAAACTAAAAACCTCTAGGGTGGCTTCTACCTACATCTACGACGTCGTCCGCACTTCTACCTCTACGTCATTGTCATCCCTTGTTTAGTTCTATCTTCTCTATCCATTTTTGGAATGTTTTTAACGACTACAAAAAAGGATAAACGGGTTGAAAAGGTATATAACCGTCAAAAAACTATAGAAAATTGTTTCAGCTAGCCCTTGGAATGTCGAGTCTAATGTCAATCGCTCTTTTAATGGAGATTCTAGCCGATTTGGTGCCGAAAAGCAAACATTTTCCATTGCTAGGTATCATCCTTTACCGTAAAAAATATTGATTAAGGCGTCTACATCACTGTTTGTATCTTTACCGTTGGTGGGAGTTGTATAGCGCTTATTGTAATGCCTCCCTACCAGGCAAAAACAGAGAAGACGCATTTGAAACTGTAAAAACTAAAAAAATCAATGGCAAAACAATTTTAGACGCGAAACACTACTCGAATGGATGAAACGACGACAAACAATCATGTTGCTGCTTTTTGAAACTATTAATTTGGCAAATTTTGTTGTTTTTATGTCATTCTGGTGAAGTCGGGATAAATGGTGGAAAAATTACATGAAAAGGTCTAGAATTCTTCTGTTTCTTAAAGTTTCACAATTCCTTTGTTTTTTGCAGAAATTTCGCTAATATTTTGTGTGGAATCCAGCAAATTATTTTGTCAGCAAAATAATCGGCCAAACCGTTTTTCGAATTTTTAGCTGGGCAGTAAGTAATGAGATGTTTGTCGGTAGAAACCCCTTTCTGTCAGCTAGAATGTTAGTGTTTGCCCTGATCCTCTTTCCTCTTCCCTCTTCCGGTCCATCCATTTTGACTGTTCTCTGCTCTGCCCTTCCCCGCCAATTGATCGCACTTTGTGCACCCGCCAAGTCAGTCTGCCGATCCACCTTCCAGCGATCAGCCGTTTTTTCTTGACATCGCCTCATATTTTGATGTTTTCGTATAGTTTCCTCGTTTTCTTTGTTAGGATTTAAATTTTAGATATGGACCGAATTTTGCGTGGTGTTATCAAGTATCGGCAGACCGTTCGAAAGGATTTGGTCAAACAATTTGAGAAGATTCGCGATAATCCTAATGTTTGTTTCATTTTAATATGATTGTTATGGCTTAGAAATACGCCTGAAAGGAAGATTCGTCGATTTTGTCACCTTTTGATAAGTATTTCACGCTTTAAAAAAATTTTTGGTGAATTTTAGCAATTTTCAAAGTATTTTTATGATTTTCAGGCTTCGGTAACCGATAAAACCTAAAGCAAAATGGTTATTAAGCCATTTTAGCGACAAAACCCTTAGAAAACCATATTTTTAGCCGCTAGCAGTGATGTTCACTTGTATGGATTCGCGTATGTTGCCGACTCGATTTACCCAGGCTGCGGTTGGGGATATGTTTGTCGTCAGGAATGCCGGGAATATTGTGCCCGATGCACAGAATTATGGTAATTTTAAAAAGTAGATCAGATGAAGTTCAATGGATTACGACATTTAATTCAGGGGTTTTGAACGTGATGGATAGCGAAAAAAAGAGTTTTAGATATGAAAAACATCCAAAAACCTTAGGCCACCACTCGGAAGTGTCAGTAACGACAGAACCAGCCGCATTGGAATTGGCAGTGAAGAGAGGAGGGATCAAGCACGTGCTCGTTTGCGGGCATAGCGATTGTAAAGTCAGTTTTTTTTGGTTTTCTGGTAATTTAATGTACCATTAGCCTATTTAACAGCAAATTTAGGCAATGAATCTGCTCTACGATTTGCACGTTTGCCCGAAAGAATTCAGTGCGGCCTCGCCGATGGACAGTTGGGTGCGGAAGAATGGATATAAAAGTATACAGCGGTTAGTTGAGGCTTTTTTACTTGGAATTAATGATTAGAAAGTAGAAAAATTGTGATTTTGGTTATATTTAATAGGTATTACTTTTTTAGATTAAACGACCGTCTCCACAATGGTCCTCGAGCGATGAAATTCTCGTCGGACGTCTCTCCTAGCCAAACTTTTGAAGCGATTATCGATCCGTTTGATAAACTCCACGTTCATGATAAGCTATCACAGGTAGGAAACTACAAACTACATTTTAATGCCTTTTAAAACATAATTTTTCGAAATTTCCAGATCAACGTCCTCCAGCAAATCATCAACATTGCTTCTCATGAATTTTTGAAGGAATATTTGGAGGTTAGTCAAGTTTATAAATCGATATTATGCGTTTTAGAGCGGAAAACTCTTCCTGCACGGAATGTGGTTCGACATCTACTCGGGGAATAACTATTTGTTCAGCAAGGATGATAGGAGATATGTTTCTATTGAGGTAAGGGAGTGGAGAATGGTTTTCGCTGAGATTTTGTAGTTTGTAGTCTATAGTTCAGCTGTCATTTCACAAATTGAGATTTTAAACTTGGCTACAGACTACAAAATACGCTTTTTTTGAGAGAATACTGTCAAAACCTCCAGTTTTTTGACATTTTGTTGTTTGTGGCTTATAGTTTATTTGTCGGTTTGCCCGAAACAAGATTTGCAACAAATTTCGTGGCCTTGTGAAGACTAAAAACTCTAAAGAATTTGTCATTTTTAGGAAAACACGGTCGAAAAACTGATGGCCGAGCTGGAGAAACGGTGCGGAAAAGCTGTCATTCAGGAGAATGTGGCCAAAGTCGAGGCTACTGGATATTCTTGATATCCCTTTTTTTAGTATATTTTAATGCGGGTTAACTTTCTCGATTCCATAGCATTTTCATAGTTCTTTGAATAAAGATTGATGCATTTATTGGGTGAGATTTTACACGCTATCATTGACGATATCACGACAGTTATGGCGACCACCCTAAATACAATTTTTTTGTAGCAAATAAAATAAAACGTACGTTTTGTAGTATAATCCATAGACATTTCCCATCCCTTCCCGATCTCTTATTTCCACAACAGAACCCTTGCTCGCAATCGAATTCGTGTTTGCAGTCTTGGCCGTCCTGAAAAAATAGTATTTAATAGGATCTCCATTTGGAGGCATTCCGGGATTGCCAGATCTTTTCCAAAAATTGTCGCTGTCAATTGGCCTTTAGCCTTCCTTAAAACGAGCGGCAAAATAAGCCCAAAATGGCTCTAACATCTAGAAGAACTTCAGATTTGTTTAGAAATCTACGAAGTTTCCGAAAAGCACACTGCTTTCCTGCTGATCGCTGCAAGGAACTAGGGAAAAAAACGTAAATCAGGATGTTTGGGAACGGCTCTTCTCGCTCTCTCGAATCGATTGCAGATTAAATTAGGTCTAAATTAAGTTTAGTGAAATAGATATTTGATTACGGTATAGCGTTGACGGCTGCAAATGCAAAAATAGCTAAAAACAGAGCAACGACTTGAAAGGAAGCGCGCATTTTTAGAGTGGCAATACGGGGGCTACCTTCAATTGTTGCTCCTCCCGTTTTACGAATATTTTATTGAAATTCAGGTTGTATTTTTGGCATTCTTGATAGATCTTTGTCTATCCTTTTTCATACTTGTATTTAAAACTTTTCGGTTCAGGTCGACGGCGATTGTCAATTTGAAGATATTGCCACGCGGTACAGAAATTATCAATTTTCTAGGCTTTCCTACGAATTTTTACGCTGATACTAATTCAGGATATCGATTGCCCCTCACCGACTGGCACTAATTTTTTCCGCAAGTGCAGCCCAAATGATAAGCCAGGCCGACCAAAAATGATAAGCCGGCGGCGAGGCCTCGTTTGGCAAGCTAATTTCAGCTTTCTGTCTTTCGCAACGCTTTCAATACACTCTTCTATAATTCATTGCCCAAATTTGCGTCGCTCTTCGTTTCTATACCTATGGTTTAGACAATGAGGGAGGGAGAAATGTCTGCACCTGATGAAAACGACCAATTTGATGTTGGCTTCCCGGTTTCGATCTCATCCAACCAATCCAACGTGGCTAAACCTGACGACAGTCACAAGCTTGGTCGTGGTGCTTTCGGCGAGGTATCTCGTGAATCGATAGATGGAAGGTATGAACCTTCATAACAAGTGTTTGTGGCTAGAATCCGGGCAGGAAAAGATACCTTTGAAAGTGTTGCGTTCATTCACTAAATTAGGGCCGTTTAATACAGCGTAGTTAGGGACGTAGCTTAAGTCAAGGTCCAAACTAGCCGCCCAGACGCTTGTTTCCGCAATTTTAAATTTTTTTTAAGGATTGTGGCTGTGAAACGACTGCATAATTCTCCTCATCCCACCCACCTCCGCCGTGAAATCGAAATTCTTGAAAGTCTTCGCCATCCTAATATTGTGGAATATATCAAATATGAAGAAGGCGTTGGAGGTCAACCAGGAAATATTGTCACTGAATATTGCGAACATGGAGACTTAAAGACATGTGAGTACGAGACAATACGATGTTTGCAGACTACGGACAGAAGCGGTTGACTGAAAAATATAGAATATGAGGTGCCGTAGCGAAATTTTTTTTACAACTATTATACTTTGTTAAAAAGTAGTGCACTCCTCTCAGGAAAACAGGATGCAATATCAAAAGGGAATTTTTTGGTTTGATTTGTCAACAAGAGAAGAATTAATGTCAACAAGCTCCTCGAAACCTCCGTGTTTTAGTTTTAGAAACCGTTTTTGATGGATTTTGAAGGACAGATATCTCCTTGTTGAAGTCATATCCTATTTTCGTTGTTCTAGTCATAAAAAACCCGGAAAAGAGCTATTCGATTTCTGTTGTGGTCGATTGGGCATGTGAAATATTTGAGGCATTGCTCCATCTCGAGAGAAAAGAGATCTTCCATCGCGATATCAAACCTTCGAAGTGAGTCAATCTCCAGAAATACGTTGACATCGCCCAATTTAGCATGCTGCTGGGTAATTCGTATGAAATCAAACTCTGCGACTTTGGCCTGTCAAAAGCGGAGCTTGCAAATAATTCCTGGTAAGAATCCCCAGGACCCCTTTTTCCTAATATAAAGGAATTCAGTTACGGAGTTATCGGTACCATTCGATACCTAGCACCAGAAGTGTTTACCGACCATAACAATCAGCAAATCGTGGGTCAATTCCATTGTTCAAAAAGCTTTTAGTATACGTATGCAAGTGATCTCTATTCTGCCGGTCTGGTTCTCTGGGAATGTATCGAAAGACGGTAAAAATAAAATAAAACTTTTTGGAACGGGTAGGCAAAGCGGAGGTTGGAGTTAGGAAGTTTCGAATCGAGAGTTTTCTACTTTAGAGCTTCATGAAAAAACCCGATTTTCAGTGTTGTCTTTCATGAAATTGCCGACGATGAGATGCTCCGGTCGCGTATTTGTTCGGGGAAGTCGTTAGAAAGATTAAATTGTCTAGCCCCTGTTGCTGATTTGATAGATAAGTTTGTTGACTAAATCTTTCCGTTATGAAAATTTACAATTAGATGTGCTCAACGTTTGCCAGAGGATCGACCCAGTGCGGCGAAAGCACGCAAAGAAGCAAGGCTCTTAAAAAAGGTTGATATCCTTTTTTGGGTGTATCCACTCTATCATGAATCTCAGGAGCCGTTTTATCGAATGTTCGACAAATGGCCGAATCATACTATAGCCGTCCCAGAAAATAATGTACGATTGTCGGTCGACGGTAGATGGGGAGAACGGCCAGAAGAAGAAAAAGTAACTTTTTGAATATCGACTAGAGTGGTTGGATTACGCCATCTACATACAGGGTGTTTTGAAAGACATTTTGGCTTTTCACGGCGGCCATTATATAGTTGTAAAACGCGAACAGTAAGGACAACAATTATTTTAGACACCCTGGTATGCACGAAAATATCGTTGTACACGATGTAGAAGTGATGGGCATCCAGTCGAGGAAATGTTCTTGGAACAGTCTAAATTGGAAAATGAACTGAAAAGAAAATGGAAAAAGGAATGGAGGCCGGATGTAGAGTTAGAGTTGTCTCGTCGCAACGTGAGTTTTGTCAAATATTGCGGAAATACCTAACCAGGGGAACTCGTTGATCGTATGCAGCAAGTGCTGTCAGAAGCGACAAGGTTCACAAGATCAGCCAATAACTCGATGGATTTCGTTGGAGGAAGCACAGGTTCTTGACATCATCAGTCGCTCTCATTTAAAATAGGTACTCATTTACACGAGCGTTATGCAGAAATGGATTGATGCGATAGTTCGGCCACTTGCTGACCAACTGGCAAATTTCTTTCCGATGGAGATCGCCGCCCTCACGGCTGTTGGTTGCTGTGTTTTGTAAAGGTTTAGCGTATTTCAGAAAGAACAGCATCTGATGGGCGCAATAAGAGCTGCCAGTAACTGCGAAGAGTTCGAGATGGCTTTCAACAAACATCTCGACTTTGTCTCAAATATCACAATTCTCTCGCCGATATTCAACGGCAAATGTACAGCGCTCGACTCAGTCTTGAGGTCTGACAATATACAGGGCCAACAAAAGGCTCGCGACACTTGCGGCGCTGCATATATTTTTTAAAGTGCTATAAATTCTGCATGTCGTCGCAGATTTTGTTTTTAATTATTGTATTTGTGTTCAAATTAAGCGCAACCGTAGTCTGAGCGTCCCTCAGGGCGTCACCGTGCCCCCGGTGCCCCCCCCCCCCTCGTTTGGGCCTGTATATACGTAGCTTTCAAATCACGTAAATTTTGGACAACTTCTGTGCAGGCGAAGCTCAAAGGCAACTTCCATCGTTTTGAACATCGAAACGGAAAATCCTGAACTGCCAAAACTCGAAATTTCGAGAAAAATTTTTTCACTATCATGAAAATTATTTTATTTAGCCCTTTCGACACTCGGCATGTCGGTATTTTTTGATGTTCTGTAGGTAGGAGCTATGCATTTTTGCTTTTAGGCCTTATTTCGCGGTGCGCAAGTCATTAGGATGGTGCCATGATAAGGAGATCCGGTCGGCCTTGATTAGATTCCTCAGCCGGCCGCGGCCGGCTGTATCCGGCCGGGCCGGGCCGCGGCCGTTTGCCATGTCAGCCAAATCCGGAAGCAGCGTATAAAATAACTCTCTAAACTATTTTTCTCCAGCTAAAACTAAATAAGCGCAAGTGTCGCGCCGCGAGTGTCGTGGTACCCAACAAAAGGCAGTTTTCGGTCGAACAGTTCCTCGTGCATTTTTTTTGAGACAAGTAGTATGCTAGGTCTTCATTGTAGACGCACTTACAGCAAATGCTTGATGACGGCCAAATCGGGCGCGCATCAGAAATTGATGTTCAATCAGGTTCGCCATATCCATCATCATTTCATCCCTTTTAAGAAGCCGAAATGCATAAGATATCCCCGATGTCAGAGATTGATTATAATGAGGTAGCACTATTTCCTGGCTTATTTATTTTCCTAAGATATGTGGATTATTCACAACTAAAGTGCCGTTGTAGTATATAATTCAGCTCACATCTTCTGATGAACTTCGGAAAATTGTCGACAAAATAGAAAAGGGCAAAGAAGAGACAGTGGATGATATAGAGAAATGGGTAAAGAAAGTGATCAAGGCTAAGCTACTTGTGAGTCGATATTTTCACATCTGTAGTTGAATGATTCTAGCCAGAAGAATTTACCTCCGAACATGGATTTCGTCTCGAGTTCCGGTAATTTGGTAGTTTATATTACAAAAGCCAAATCTTAGAGACCTGCTTGATCGGTTGCGCCATGAGCATGAATTTGTGAAGGGAAAAACGGATCTTCACGAGCTGTATTGTGCCTTTATTGAGAGGATAGGTATTGAATTGTCGTCTACAAAAACAGAAAAGGAAATCAGGTGACCGACCACTTCTACATACTTCCTTCTCTTCTGCCCAATCTTCTGATATCAGCGTGATGCTAAATATCCTTCATACTCCAATATTCCGTGTAAGATTTTACCTTTTTTAGGGTTTTGAAAGTCATTTTGTTAATTTATACTTTTCGGGGATTTTTTTATTAGAATCATTTAAAGAATTTAGGGAGTGTTGTCGAGAACCGAATGCGAGTTTGAACTTCACGGCAATAAGGAATATCCATCCGAGGTATACCTTCTTACCCCCTTTTTATATCAACCGCCTTGCAGATGGATGTTTATGAATGTGCCGGTGTATGGAAACACCTAAGGTTGTGTGGTAAGTGCGTTATTTTTCTATTAGGTGGTGATAACATTTCTCCTGGCTATTGCTATGGGATGTTTGCAAAAACTGCCTTTCCAAAAATTAATATAGTATGTCATTTGTCATTTGGACTGCATTGAGTAATTTCTGAAGCGAAGCTTTTACGATAAGTTCTGTAATATGATCAACAGGTGATCATCGGAGAAAGGATGGGATCAACTGCTCATCATTTGTCATTCGAAGTATACAGGTATTTAAACAGAATAGACAACCAGATAAAAATTCATTTTAGAAACTTTTGAATGGAGGGACATCAGGGGGTCAGGGATTATTCATCCACCGTGGCCCCTGGGTATTCTGAATCCGTCAAATTATATTGCATTATTCCATTCAGCATTTCCCATTTATCGGTGATAGACAGATGGATTTTGAGGAGAAATATAATGTTCGAATTGCGTTGATTACGTTGGGAGGAGACGAGAGGTAAGCATCAAGCAGTTACAGTAGCGTGCATAAAGAAGGCGACACCCAGGAAGCTCTTGTAACTCGGCTGCCTCGTTATATTTTGCACCAAACGGAATGTTTCCTAGTGTTTTCGATGCTGTAGAATTTGATGAGCAGGATCCCTAGCCGCGAAAATGACGTTTAGTAGCTTAAATATGGAATTTGAAATAGCTCCAAAAAATCGACTTTTTCTAAAGGCATTTTTCCGTTTCAAAGACATCACCATCGTGTTCAGCATGGTCGATTTACCCAGAGTCAATGTTTCTGGTTGCTTAGTACGTCTTCAGTCGCTAGGAAGCTACGATTAGTAGGGGTCGCCATCGGTCTGATGGGGGCGCCTGCAATACCTTTCCCCCAGGCGAACCCACTTCTTGACCCGTTTCGCGCAAAGAAAAAGCGGCTTCCCGGCTAAGCCAAGTCAAACCCGATCACAAACGACACTGAGCGTGGGTAAATCGACCATGCTGAACACGATGGTGATGTCTTTGAAACGGAAAAATGCCTTTAGAAAAAGTCGATTTTTTTGGAGCTATTTCAAATTCCATATTTAAGCTACTAAACGTCATTTTCGCGGCTAGGGATCCTGCTCATCAAATTCTACAGCATCGAAAACACTAGGAAACATTCCGTTTGGTGCAAAATATAACGAGGCAGCCGAGTTACAAGAGCTTCCTGGGTGTCGCCTTCTTTTTGCACGCTACTGTATATTTTCGAAAACAGCCACGCAAGTGTCTTGTTTATATTTACACAACATAAATATTTATCAATTTGTTTTGAAATGTTTTTAATCACAGTCTAATGTAAATCACAACTATAAATAATAAATCTTGAAAAAATTCTCAAAATTGAAAGTTGTGGATTTTTTCTTGGCCGGTGGATCGGCGGTTATTTTATAATTTGCGACGAATGTTTTTTTAGTGGATCGAGATGGTTCTGGATCTTCGCTCGGGACAAGGACACATTTATCAATACCATTGAACATCAATTCCAGCCCGACGCAGCTCTATGCCTTTGGTATAATTCGAACCGGTAGGACTGCATCTTCCTTCAGCTATAATATGAAATTGCACAGAGAGTTCATAATTTCCATGGATTTTCCCTACAGTATGCATAAATACGAGCAAATGCAGGTCAGTCCCATTCATTCACAGCCATTCCCGAAAGAATATTGGGGAACCGCGGGTCTAGTGGAATATGAAAAGTATCGGGTTGTAAAAGAAGTGGAATTTTCAGTTGGGAATCATTCCAAAAGATGAGACAATGAAAGTGACATCGGAGAAGATTAATGAATCGACTTATAAAAGAACATGGACACCGGAAGGGTGGAAAGGGCCGTGGATATGGACGGTTTGTCTGTTTCCATAAAATACTTGATTTTCCAGGCAAACTATCGACCTACATTTGATGATATCAATTGTTTCAATTGTCTCAAGGGTCCTCTACCAGATATGTCTTATTGTAGCGAATTTACTGAAATGTGCTAATCGCAAAATTGTTGTCTATTTCTGTAAGATCGAAACCATTTTCCTGCAATTTTTAACGTTGCCCCAAAACGCCAAATTTTAATTTATACGCTTGCCAAATTTAGATTTTTTGCATTTTTCTTAACTTTTGTAGTTCGCTTCGATAGACGCAATTGAAAACGTATACATTTTTATACCCGGATGAAAATATACCCATAATATTAACAAAATTAACAACCAAGAAAATAGAAAAGAATCACAATCGACCGGTAATATTTGTGACCAATTTTTGGAGGTGTGTTTTGGAGCGTTGCGTAGTCAGTTGGGACGAATTTTTGGCGGCAAAGAGACGCCGGCGCTCGTAAAGTACTTCTGTAAAAACCGTATTTGAAGAGTAAAAAAATTGGAATTTTTACAAATTAAAACTTGCAAAATTAATCTATTTGAAGAAAACCAATTTTTTCACGAAAACATACGCAAATTGGAGTGATAAATGCCATTATTGGGGTCGATATGGATGGCTTTTCTTAGATGATATTCTCCCTCTTCAAATCGATTCAATTGGCCATAACAAGTTCCCAACTAAAAATAATTATGATTTTATCGATTGCTATTTGTTGACTTGACTCTTATTGGTCACCTGAAAATCAATAGCTGAATGGGCGGGGTTTGGCAAGTTTCCAGCCATTTCTATCGCGCTTTCGCATTGTCCGTTTTCATCCAATCGAACAAGAATATTCACCCAAGCACCCGGATGAGAGGGGTCCTGTCTGGAATCGAGAAATCAGAGGCCGGTACTCTTAAAAATGCTAGTTTTAATGTTTATTTTTTTTGGCAAGCAGTTCGCTTCAAGACACTCGAAAAATGGCGAAATTCGCCTTTGTGAAGGTGTAATTCCGTATCGTAACGTACTGACCAGCCCGAATAATTAGGTACTGTAGGCCAATTGTGTTAATTTCCGAACAAAATTTGTAAATTATGAAGCTTTGCAACCACGAAATTCACAGAAACCGCTTAAAAGGCGCGATTTAAACTTTTTTGTCGAAAAATACTTTTGAAATTCTGAATTTTCTTTTTTATCGCGTTAGGTAGTCTGGAAGCTAGTTTGAGTTAAATCAACCCACAAATGAAGAAATTCAATATTTTTGGCATTTAATTCCGTACGCAAACATACTCGATAGCCCTTTTCCAGCTCTGCATCGCCTGTTCCCCCCTTCCAGCGGCCAGATGGAGATTTCCGAGATTGAAATGGCAATCGGGGGAATGTGGGCGGAGTCGAAGGGATGTTTCAAAAGCCGTTAGAGAGCTCTAAAAGGCAATAGTAAAATTCGAATCGGAAAAATACCTTGAAATTGGCCATTTTCATCTCGGCAATCCCCAGATTCATCCAAGCAGTCGCGAAATGAGGGCGAATCCTGAAAATTAATTGAAATGTTGCGAATTTTCGGTAAACACCGGGTGGAATCGTTAATCTGACTCGCAATTTAACTATTTTTAACATTTAAATCTTAGTTTTAAGGCTTAATTTTAATCCCGTGGACTTCAACGTAAAAACGTACATTGTAGCCCTGCGTAACAATTCGACCGCTTCCGCATATCTGCCTTGAGCTTCGAAAATATTTGCCAAATTATTCATGGCCTGTTCGTATTCGGGATTCAGCCTGGAATACGGTATTTTATTTGTCACTACAAACTCCAAACTCACTCAATCGCTTTTCCATATTTCATACTGGCTTCTATCGGATTTCCATGGGTCGTTAGAATTTTCCCGAGATTGTAGTGGATTTTCGCGTTATCAGGACAAACTTTGAGTCCACTACTATACAAACTGTACTCTGTACGCCAGTCCATCGAACGCTGAAACGATTTTTACATAGAAGGGAGCGTGGCCGGCTCGATTCGAGCGCTAGAAGATAAATTGCTCACCTGCCACGACAATGCGAATAGCACCGTCACCACCGCGTAAAGGGTATTCTTTCGGAAATTTGGGATGACCCTCGAAATCCCGATAGCCACAAGAATACAGTATGCCAGGGATGGTAGATACAGTACCCTCTCGGCTACTGTAAATCCGACGGTTAAGAATAGATGGGATGAGGGGGCAAATGTGGCGCCGCCAAGGAGGAGGGATACGGTAGTCATTCTACAAAATACGCTATTAAAAAACTGTACAAAATTGTTACCGCCGCTCTGCCTTCCAACATTTCCCTATGCCAAAAATGACAGATCCAAAAACGAGCAGATTTCGAGCATTTCGAATATCGAAAAATGAAGATATTGGCGGAATACAGCCCATCGAATAATCGAAACATTGCCACAATGGGAGTGTCAATAGTTGTGCATTGTACACCCACGTATTCACGATGGACAGCCACTAAAATAGTTCAATTTTGTGAGATATTTTGAGTTGATGAATTCCCCTGGCTTCCAGTGAAGCAGATCGTGGCCCAAAAATTTTACGATAACTTTTCTTGTCTGGCTTTAATTTTGACATGCGTATTGGCAGCCAATAAAGCAAACCGCAGCCAAAAACAACCGAGCCAACGCATTTAAAAAAAATTTGTTCTGTAATGTCGACTGGCAGCCAGTTTAGTGAATCGGGCTTCCGAATTTTCAAAAATAATTTTGAATTTTGCGTTATAACTGAAAAACCTACCCTCGAAATCGGCTCCTCAATAAAGGCCACCGAATTATCAAGCTTTGAGAATGTGGGCTTATCAAAATTGGCGATCCATAATCTCCAATAAACTAGGGCGAAAAATAGAGAAATCGACTTGAAAATTCTTCTGTTACAAGGCTCAGGCCCGATTTTAAGGATTCCACAGGCCGAGATGAGAAGCTGAAATTGTCGTATGTTAATTTATACCATTTTTTAAACTTGGAAATAACCAAAATAAAAAGGTCACTTACCGGCAATACAATTCCCTGCTCTTTTGAAAGCATCGATAATATCGAAAATGCGACAATTTGAGAAAATTCGCAATTTTCCAGATATTTTCGAAAGCCGACAACAAAGAAAAGGGCCATCAAAAGCTCTGCTCGCCCCGTGTTGTTACAAATCTAAATAATTTTGATTCAAGATGATAAGACCCAAAAGTAGAAATTCCAAAAATAATTTTAAAACTTACAGCTTCAGTATGAATTGGATGGACGGCGAATAACAAAGAAACCGCAGAGATGAGGAAATTATTTTCCGAAATTCTAAAGTATTTTTATAAGCTCTTTTATCGATGTTTATACCTTTTTAAAAGTCGAAAAATCTCTTTAGTAACGAGGGAATGGAGGAGGAGATTGACGAGATGATATCCAAGGGTCCATTCACCGTGGAGTTGGTGGTTTAGCCTGAAAAAAAGCAGAAATTTAGGTTTTTTAAGGTTTTTAAATTTTTGTTAAATTTTAACGTTGTATCTTGTAGTTCGCCATTATTTTTAAGGTTATCTGAACTCAATTTAACACTATTTTTGCTGCACAATTCTCTTGGAAATGGCTAAGTATTTTAATTTTGGGGTTTTTTAGATTGATTTTTTCGCGGATTCCCGCTTTCCTGACCAATTTTTGAAGTTTGTTATGTCTCAAAATCAATTTTTTTCAGAGCTTGTCCTTTTCATATCGACCTCAGTTTTATGTCCCCAGACTACCGTATTTTTTCGTTTCTAGCACCATTTCTCCGATGTCCACCTCGACCCCCCCGGAGGCATGAAGCTAAACCCCCTCCGTAGATGTCGTGGCGACCAGCAATTATCTCTTTCTATGGCCCATCCCTCTTTCTGTCTGTCAGTTTGACTATCTGTCTGTCTCTCTAGTCTCTCGAAAACCCTCTATCCTTTATAATCCATGTAATCGCCTGCGCGAACACCCAATTAACACACCTTCCCTTGCTAGGAGGGGACCGGAAGACGAATATCTCTCTCTCTCTCTCTCTCTCTCTCTCTCTCTCTTTCTCTCCCTCTCTCTCTCTCTCTCTCTAATTGGACAGACAAAAAGATTGTGCAACCTCCTTCTACTCTATTCTATTCTATTCGAGTTGTATGTCAATGAATAGAAGTTGCACCATTGCGTGGAAGACACAAATTGGGGGCACTGGAAGAGCACTAACAAGCTATAATAACAAGCAATCAAGCTGATGTTAGGTGTATTGACATTAAATTTACCTTTTCTGCTAGTCATATTTGTAAAATTGCACTGCAAATTTAAATTCAGGAATTTTAGAAGTTATTGATATGTGAATTTGAGCTTTTTGACAGAATATTTGACCGACAGAGAAGCTATTATGACGGTTAGAAAAATTCTGAAGTACTCTAAAATTTTGTAGTTTGGATTTTTCGGCTAACTGGCATCCAGTAAACCAAGCTTTGGCTTTGAATTTGAATCCTGGAAATTGATAAACGTTTTAATCCTGAATTTCAGGCTTTTTGCTATCAAAAAAACAATTTTGATGGTCAGAAAATTCTGGAGTACCGTAGTTGCTTTTTAATTGCGATTTTTATGTTAACTGCCAGGCATTTAACCTATTTTTGGGCCAGCTGGGATTCTTCGAATCAGAATTTTATTAAAAACTCTCCTAGGACTACACCCCAGTATCCAGTTTTTCGCGAGGTCCATGTCGAGTCAAGAAGAATGGGGCCTGGGGGAATCGGATTGACACGGCGATGATGGGTCCATTCAACGACCCAAGAAAGGGAAGGAAAGGGGATGATTTATGACGGAAAGCGAAACCTCGTAGAGGGACCAAGAGACGACGTGTCCATCCTCTTTACGTAACCACTAAAGCCCGGGGGGGCACCTGCATATGGTTCACGGGATTTAGCCACGATTTATTCGAATCCGAGGCTGGCAGCTGGAGCATTGTCTAGCCTGCCTGACAGATTGGTGAGAGGTAGAGATCAATTCCCCAATGGAACAGATTTTCGGGTCTACGGTAACGATAGATGGGACACCTTTTAGAAGGGCAAAGTTTGGTAAACTGACAGTCAACAGTACTGTAGCTAAAAAATTCCCAAATTTTCTGCCCCTTGCTTGTAGAATTTCTAGTTTATTCGCACCCCCGTATAGCATTTCCGGGAAAGTCCAATATCCCCCGGCTCCGTCCGGGGTGTCGGTCGGAATCTCACGGCTCGTTACCCTGTGACTCCCCCGGATTCGTGGCCTTGCATCAGGGTGGATTTTCTGACGCGCGGAAAGGGTGCATTACTAGGCAGTTTAGTGGTACAGCTATAGTAAACCTTAACGTGTCAAAAAATCGATCAAAATATGAAAAAATCGAATATTCGGTAAAAACCGCTCAACATGCAAAAAAACGATTTTTAAGCTTTTTGTAGCACATTTATTGGGCCTATTTTTTCAACTGCCATGTCTGCTGTCTCTAAATAATTTTTTTTTAAATTTTAAACAGTTTGCAACCTGGCATGCACCTTGTCGTTTTCCGAGTCAAAATCCCTTTCGGTCCATTTCTGACAAAATCCCAGCTAATACCGCCATGTTTCGGTATGTTATGCCTGTGTCAAAGTGTCAAATAATATCCCCACAGACACATTATGGTCCCGAGCAGCGGAAGCGGGGCATCAGATTGCATATTGGCCTCTAGTGGGCCCTCTAGTGGGCCCTACTGGATGGTGTATGGGCATTTGCATTCCGGGGCTGTAAATATGAGAAGCATCTACATAGAGGGTATGGGAGGGTGTGGAAAAGGTGGTCTGGCTGGCAGTTTGTACTAATAAAACATAAAAGTCAATTTTCTAGACAGACAAACAGCACAACAAACCAAAAACTCTAACAATCTCCACTTTTCTTGAGAAAGAATTTGAATTGGCTAGCAGATTGACAATAAATTGGCTAAATCGACGGACAGATTGACAAATTGACAGACTGACATACAGTTTACCTGATAAACAGCGCAAAAATTAGGAAAATTGGGTATTTTTCGGAAACCAGACAAACTAAAAGCCCCAAAAATCGAATTTCTCGACGGGTAAGATGTTAACTGGCTGGCAGAACACTGGAAGATTGCTATACCAAACAGACAGACAGACAGATAGGCTAACTAACTGCGAGTTGGGCCGAGAAAATACCGAAAAAGCGATAAAATATTATATTTGGCAAGAAATTCATTTTTGATGTCTCGGCCATATGGCTTGTAACCGGTTGAAAATGGCCCATTTATCGTCTTGCCTCCCTGTCAGGTCAATTCCGCGAAATTTCAGTTTACCCCCAGCGGTCAGAAAATTGTCCTCAACCAGCTGTCGTTTTTCGAGGGGGTACCAGTTTATGATTGGCAGCCAGTAGAGAGAGGGCAATCTGTTTTGAGCCCTTAGGGCATTTTGGGCATCAAAGGGTACACACCGACAAACAGAAAGAGAGAGAGAGAGAGAGAGAGAGAGAGAGAGACAGGGGGAAGACATTTGCATATATTTGCATGCAAACGGGTGGAGCAAGGAGGGGGAATGGGCACGCTTTAGGGAATGGGGCAGCCGAGGCTTTGGATTAGGATGTTACGGTGGAAATTGAATGCGGCCGGGGTTTGAACTGACAGCCAGGGAAGCGGATGAGATGCTAATTTTTCCCAAAAAATAGCGATTTTTTTGAGATCCGGATTTTTTGGCAGGTTACGAAGTCAAACTGGCAGCTAATTAATCCTATGGTATTTCCACTACTGATAAATTTTCATTTTTTAGCAAATTTGAGGGTTACTGTAAGGCAGTTCAGTGCAAGATTAGCAGAATTTGATTTTC